CACCCAAAAACATTGAAATTGGCAGCTTAACCAGGCTTTTCCTCGGTTGATTCAGCATACGACACATTTTTTGATGCGGGGTTTATCCTTAACCTCTTATTCTGCCAAATGCAGTTTTTGTAAGTATCTCTTTTGCCTCTGCTTGGGATGAACAAAGCCCCTTCCTGCCCTATTCTTAAAAACATTCCAGATTGCATAGGGAACGTCATTGCGTCAGTACCACGGGGTCTAAATCCTGGTATGTTTTGTTGAAAATCATAATGCTTTCCCATTCAAATGCCTTCTTTTCCTCCAGCTTTGAGGATAGCTGCTGAAAGTTTTAATTCATTTCAGGATTTTAAGTAAAACTTTTCTGAGTTGATCTTGACTCCTGAAGACCTCAGGACACATCCCTGTGGTTTTCTTGGGTACAAGCAGCTGGCCAGAATCATCTTCTGGATAGTTTCCCAGTGTAACCTACAACCCTGAGATTTTCTGACTATCTCCCCCGGCCTGAATTAACCAAGCCAGACCCTCCTTAGCTTCTCCGAAATCCAGAGAGGTCAACTAAGCACTGCTTCGTGCTGTGATTTTAGCATATGTATTTTTCCTGGCCACGCCCACTTTCCTGGACTGGCCATGCCCAGTGCTTTCCATGCAGCCCACCAAACTCCACTAAATGGCTAAGTGGGACCTTTCAAAAGTCCAACAGGTTCCCACATCGTGTCTCATCCATGGGACATCTGGACCAGGTCCTATTCGTTTCTGCATGATTTTTGCACCGTGCGCCTTCAGCTCCTGGCGAAAGCACTTTGATGTGAAAGTCTGCTTTTGCATTGTAGAGCTGGTGCCTCCAAACCATTCATTTTGGCTGTTGGGAGTAGATTTGAAATATCCTTGATTTTTATTATTTTGTCATTTTGGTGCATTTGGCAGTGGTCTTTCCTCCTGGGGCAAGGCGGTTCTGCTAAGATTTTGTCGTTAGCAGAACTGCTCCCCCCCTTTTAATTGTGCAATGCAATGTTGGCAGAAGGCCACTCCTTTGGTGGGTAAGTGCAAATGTGGCAATTCCTGCAGAGTCAGTAACACGTAGGAAGTTGGGTTTTTCCCCCCCTCCTACTTAATAATTCTCTTTATTAACAGAGACATCATCTGCAGGATGTGTAGGGCTTTCATCAAAATGATGGAAGCATTGTCATGTCTGTGTGCTTGTGACATCATGATGCACTTAAAAAAGGAAGGCGCTTGCATCGCAACAGTGCAATGCTGTTTTTGTCAAATCCCCACCCCCCCAAGGATGCCTCTGATTATTCAAACGAGGCAGATCATGGTTCCTTCTCTTAGACTAAACTTTGATGATTTGCCATACCAGATTGAACAAATCTTATTTGGATGATGAAAAGTTCAGTGGGCAACTGTGGAATGGCTGAATCAGGATGGTTGGAGAAAGGAAGGGAATGTTTTCTAGCTCCCTAATCAAAAAGCCTTCTGCAAGTGAATCGATGTGGACATTTGAATCAATTAAAGGATTTGAATTGGATTGACCCAGTTTTTCCAATCAATGTGATGAATAGGCGAGAGCCCATTTGCACACCTTAGTAGCTCAAAGACATACCTCTATTTATGGCAGGATAGTGCAATAAATAAAGGATATAGATTTAATCTACTTGGAGTCAAACTCAGTTTCTAAGGACTTCATGACACCCCCACATCACAAAAATATAGACGTGGTTTCCCTTGCCTTCTTCTAGGACTTTTTATTCAATTCTCCGGTCTTCCCAGTCTCAGCCCTGGGATTTCCTAGTAGTCTCCCATCCAAATACTAATGAGGTTTGACCCTGCTAAGCTTGTCCGGGTCAGGTTTTGCTATCTAGCTGAGCTAAACCATTCCACATCCCTTTTAAAAAAATGTTGACTAGCTTTCTAAGTTTTTAACTTTAAAAGTACTGTGTCATCTTGGGCAAAGAGGTATGGCTGCATTGAAGTCGTAGAGAGGTGTTATGTTCACACCCTTGTGTGTTCCAAACCACTGTCTTGGAATCATATCCAAAGTGCTATATATCACACACACACACATGGACACACACACACTCCTCCCTGATCCATAGCTAAAATATTATGTATGGTTTAATCTTGAGAAAAGTGTGAATGTGAGAATGTTGAGTTGTAAGATTTAAGCATTGTTCTACAAGGCCAGGGAGATGAGAATATTCAAATGTCATGAGACATGATGCTCTCCTGAAATTGTGGACCATTTAAAAAAGCGGGGGGGGGGCACATTGAATAATTTGCTGAGCCTTTTGTTGATTATCCCTAAGCTTTGTACCCTTAAGCTCTGTGACTACCATTTTTAACAATCAAGGATGGATTGATGGATTTCTCCTTTTAGTTGAAGCAGACAGTTGGTTTCTATATTTTAAGCTTCTAGACCCTGCCTGCAAAGCAGACCAGCAGAATACCATTTATGTGCCCTTCATTGCAATGAGAGATTGTCCTCCCGGCATTTTGTAGCTTCTTATTGTAGCATTTGACTGAAAAAGAAATGTCCGTCTTTCTATCCAGGCAATTGCAGAAATGCAGTCTTCTACAGTTCCTGTCTGTTCCTCCAGCCTGCCAGATTTCAAGCACAGTGGATAAAGTCTCCCAATTTTATTATCCCTCCCCTTTCTAAAGTTGACGTTTTTTGGTTTCCCGTCCCAATAGAACAAGATGGCGCAAGACCAATCAGACCATTTTAAACTTTGATTTTTGTTCGGAACTCATATGCTAGGAGGAATGCTCACTTTTCGAGCCAAAATGAATTGAAAATGGTTTGTCTTCTGTTTTAAAAATAACTGCAAGTTTCCCATCTTTCGTTTTCCAGGTCCTCTTTCACCCTAGAAGAAATTTGAACCAGGCCTTGTGTTCACCTTTTTGGTTAACATAGTCATTTTCATTCTTTTTCACATGTTATGTTCATTTCACGCTTGGGTATAACTTCTTCCCCTTTCTTTTTAGCAAGAAAAAAAAATAAGCAAAAGGTCTGATTATATGTGGAGGAGGGTCAGCCATTTACACAAATATTGTGGTTGATTCTCTGGTTCAGATATTGCTAAGTGACGTGTTGTAAGTAGATAATTCTAGCTTCCTCTAATATCAGTCATGCTATTTACCTTCAAACCCCAATCCAGAAGGCAAAGAGAGACAGACAGAAACTTTATTTCGGTCATTGGCCAATAAAAATACATTCTATAAAACAAAGCAAAATGATCCTCTAACATCCATAACTGTTAGCAACCATTTGTGGGTGAAGCTTACACATAATGTAGTGGAATTTTGCTACTTTTAGAGAAATACATCTATCTTGGTTGTTTAGCAGATAATGCAAATAAAAATGATCAGAGTGCCCTGGAAATTTAAATAACTAACATAGGGCTCTGTCAGTGTAGAACGGCGAGTTTTGTAGGTATTTGTGTAAATCCTTTTTCTTTCTTTTTTGAAATCCCACCCTCTTTTGCTGTGCTCTCCCATAACTGGAGGAGCATAGAGACAGGAAAACATAGGGATATTCCCCCACTAGTGACTTAGAACAATTTCATAGCATTACATGGCCATTGCTAAAATGGTGTAAAGCCTGTGTTCATGACAGTTATTCTGGTACGTTGCTGGTCTGAGGACTCTAGAAGATTTTATTTTATTTATTTATATTTCAAATTTGGTTACCGCCCATCTCACGAGGAAGTGACTCTGGGTGGTTTACAATAAAAACAACCAGTAAATATTAATTAAAATACAATAAAAATAGTATAAAAATGCCAGAAAAATACAATAAAAACCAAATACATATATAAATAATAATATCTTCCAAGGGTTAGGGTAGAAAAGATATTAACATACAGAAGCATCTCACGAGGAAGTGACTCTGGGTGGTTTACAATAAAAACAACCAGTAAATATTAATTAAAATACAATAAAAATAGTATAAAAATGCCAGAAAAATACAATAAAAACCAAATACATATATAAATAATAATATCTTCCAAGGGTTAGGGTAGAAAAGATATTAACATACAGAAGCATCTTCATGAATGTTGAAAATAGAGCAGAAACACTCTTTTTACAGCCAAGACCCACATTTACATTTAATTTCTTTTTAGCTTTCGGGGGATGCTAGACATACAGTTGGCAGTGGTCTTCATAGAGGTGCAATCAAAATCAGTATCTTGCACCCCAAATTCAGTAGTATAATCTGGAGGAAACTGCAGATTTTTTATCCCAGATTGAAAGAAATAGAAGTTAGATATGCAGAGTGCCCATAACTTTATTCAGTGGTGGGAAGTTCTTCAGAATTGAATGTTAAAAATATCCCTTAGTTCTCCTTCCTCCACTGTCATCGCCCTGTTCCTGCGAGCCTGAACGGTCCTATGGTGTTTCTTTTCCAGGATAACTAGGGTCCTTAGAAAATTCCACCACTGGATTGGACCTTCTAATCTTGAAAAAGCAAAGAG